GCTCAGCATAGCTGCCCCTGGCTTTGCACCACATCTGCCCTCATGCCCTGGCCCCGGGCACCCGCTGCACAGCAGGGCACATCCCAGACACCAACTCATGACTGTGCTGTCTGTCCTGCAGCCATGCCAGCCTCGGGCCTTTCCCTGTGGTTCTCCAAGCACCAGTGTCTCTGCCCTGTGGGAGATGGGTAAGTGCGGGCCCTGGCCCAGCCCTGCCTGGTCCCACCCCCCTCGCTAGCCACAGCTGTGCTGATCCCTGGTCCCTGCACCCACCTCACACGGTGACACGGGCTGGCTTCACGGTCTCGTTCCTTAGCGTGTGCTGGCTGCCGCCCCGGCCCTCGCCAGCTGGAGGTGCCCCCGTAGGACTGCTGGGGGTTGGCTGGCTGCAGCAAAGCATGCTGGGGGCAGGAGCCGGGGCAGCCCCCCAGCAGGGCTCCGCCCTGGGTGCAAATCCAACCCTGGGGATGGTGCCACCGCTGGGCTGTGGGTTTGCCCAGGCTCGTTCAGTGTTGGCGCCGGCAGGCTGCTCCCCCGCCCCAGTGGGGTCCAAGCGCGACTGATCCAGCCAAGGGGTCTGCCGCAAGCCGGAGCCACGGCAGGCGGGCTCCTGCCGCCAGGGACAGCTGAGCCCACATGCGGGGCCTGCCGCAGCCGGAGGGGCCTCGGCCCTCGTTAGCCATGAGGGGAGACGGAGACAAGCTGGCAGCCGGAACAAATGCGACACAGCCCCCCCCCGTGTGCAATTCCCCCAGCTCAGCCCCCGGCCTGGTGCACACGCCCCCGCCCAGTCGTGCTGCATTAAATCCCAGCCCAAGGCCGGCCCTGGGGCTGCTGCTGCGGGATAGCGGGAGGGGCTCATGCAGGCCAGAAAACAAAGGTCTCCTTCCACCTGCCCTGCTCTTCGGGCGCAGGCCAAGGCAGGAGAAAGGGCTGGGGATCGCAGCAGCCTGGCCCCAGGCCTCACAAGGGTCGGAGATGCCATGACCCCTGGGTCACCTCCCTCCAAGCTGGGATGATGGGGGGGCAAGGCCTGCAGGGAGTGGGGGCTGCTCCAGCAGCGGACAGAGCTCGGGCTCTGCCCTCTGAAATGCCGGACACGGCCACAGCTGCCAGGCTGGGATGCTGGACTTCCGCAGTGGGGGTGGGGTCGGCTCTCCTGGCATCACCCGGCCCCGGCTCACCCCCAGCCCCTAGTTACAGGAACCTTCCGGGACCGTTGTTCCAGCATCATTGCCGCAGTGCCCGTTGGGGGCACGGAGCGGGGGCTGGGGAAATCACTGGCCCCTGGCAACAGGCCAGGCCTGTGGCTTTCCAGGCCCAAGCCAGGGAGAGCCGGGCCCAGATGCTTGTGTTCTATCCCAGGCTGGGCAAACGCGCCCGTTTCCCATGGGCTGGGGAGCCCCGTTCAGCTGGGACAGCGTCACGTGGGTTCGGGGGCAGGCCCCTGGGAAGAGTCCCGGCCCCTGCAGGTAGGGAAGCAAGGAACAGGTGGGTTGTGGGAACTGCCTTACGGGCTTTTGCAGCTGTGAAAAGCTGGCTGGGGGTCCCTGGGGGACCGAAGCCCTCACCCCCCCTGCAGGGCTGGAGAGGTGGCACCGGCTCCCGGGGCCCAGCTCCCTCCCCAGCCCCCCGCTGCCCAGCAGGGCAGGCCAGGAAAGCCCCAGGGTGGAGCAACAGGGCACTGCTCAGTTAACCCTGCGCTGGGCTGGTGGTCAGAGTCAAGCACAAAGCAGCAACTGGCAGGGGAGATCAGGTCCGTCCTGCCCCTCCACCCCCCGGCTTAGCAGCCTGCCCTGCCGGCCGGGCACTGGGGCAGGAGTTGAGCTCCTAACGTCCAGGCCATAATGCCAGGACTACGCTGTTCTCAGCCGGGGCCGGCTTCCGGGACCTTCCCCGCTGCCCCCGCCCCATTCAGAGGGACCCAGAGCCTGGGGAAGGATAATGGCGCCCTCGTGTGGACATGTGGGAAACGGCACCTAGACCGTGCGAGGTTGTGGCGCGAGGGGGGCTCACAGCGCTATTCGGGGCCTGGCTGCTGTCCTGCAGGAGGGGCCATGCACAGTTGGTGGCATGAGGCCCAGAACCACTTGGGGAAAGTCACCCCTCAGCTGAGATCCAAACCCCAGGGCCCCGCCCCCAGGGCCAGGCCGGGGCTGCATCCTGCCCGCTGGCACCTCCGACACACCAGGGAAGCAGTTTTGTTAATAAAAACATTTATTTTGCATTTTGTACAGAGCCCCCCACAGGCTGCGCCAGGCCGTGGCCGGAGCCCACCCAGCGCCCCGGGGGTGGTTAGGGGACACGGGGCATTCACACAAACACACACAGAACCGGGGCGGGGGAGGAGTGTATCGCGTCCTTCCTCGGGAGACAGGGCAGGAGCCAGGGTCACTTTTGCACTGCATCTGCTCAGAAAGGTGGCTAGGCGCACGGCCCCACAGCTAGTGCCTAGGAAATCACGTCCTCGCGCGGCCGGGCTGCCCCCCACAGCTCTGGCCCCACCGCCACGCCGAGGGAAAGCCTAAGCGCAGATCTTTCCCCTCCCCCCCAGGCAGCAGTGGGGCTTAGGGGAAGGCCTGGCCCCTGCAGCAGCGAGCCAGGGAAGTCCTAGGGGGGTGGGATGAGAAAGGGTCCATGGCCCGGTGTACAGGGAGGGTGCCCCAGGCCCTGCCCTGGGACGAGGAAAAGCCCAGAGATGCCCTGGCCCCCGACTCAAGGTGGCAGGAGAGGAGGACCAAGGCAAAGGAAGCGATTCAAGCGTTCACACGCCAACCCCCCTCTCAGGGCTAAGCGAGCAGGTTTGATCTGGGCCTAGGAGCGTGTCTGGCTATGGGGCTGGGACATGGACAAGGCAGCACTCAGCACGGTACATGATTGAGAAAGGACCCTCTTCTCCTGGCCGGGGGGCTAGGGCGGGCTGGCCTAGAAAGCCGTGCGGGGGGGGGGGGTAGGCTGGGCTCTGGTTGGCTCAGGAGTTTAACAGAGGTGCCGCTAATGGCGGCGGGCGGATTGGGGGCGATAGAAAGGGGGCTGATTGTTTTAATCTTAATTTACACCATAAATAACCTGAAACTTATGGTCAGTGCCTCAGAGAAAGGTTTAATTCTAGCGTCTGGCCGAGGCCCTTGGAAGGGAAAAGGTGTACTGTCTCTTTAAACAGCCCCTGGACAGCTGGCAAGCACGGGCTCCCCCCCCACTCCCCTCCCTTCCTTTAACCCGATTTGAAGCCCACGAGCTGCATGAGGCCGTCCGTGCTCATGGACTTGGGTCTCTCCAGCGGGAAGCCGAGCGCCCGGCTCCAGATGAGTTGGGCCAGGACGCCCAGGGCCCGCGAGACGCCGAACAGCACCGTGTAGTAATTCATCTCCTTCATGCCGTAATACTGCAGAGGGGAGAGGAGCGGGGCGGGGGGTTAGGCCAGTGCCCAGCAGCCCCCAGGATCTGGGCCTGGGAGATGCTCAGGCCCTGGGGGCTGTGGTGGGCTGGCTCCCAGTGCCAGGGTGGGCTCAGAGTCTCGCCTGCTGAGCCCGGGGAGGGCGAGCTGGAGGGGCCAGGGCAGAGCAGGGCTCGGTGGGGGAGAGGGGGGGGGGCCTGCCCCTCACCAGCAGCCCCAAGGGAGGCGGCGCCGTACCTGCAG